GGACAGCCTCAGCGTGGATTTCACACGGGCCAAAGTCTTTTGAATTAAAGTTCGTGTTGCTGCCTACAAGCTTATAAGAGTCCTCACCATCAGACTCGAAACAGGCATGACCTCTGGTCCTTCTGGGATTCACAAAAGTGAGGCTTGCGGAGATTGCGACAGCCATTCAATCGCCTGCTTTCGTTGGACGTTCTTTTCCAGATCCTGTCCTGCGTCATACAATTTAAACCTACCTTGGGCGAGAATGGTACGCAAGACGGAAGCATCCATGGGCTTCGTCAGACAATCGGCAGCTTGCAATGTCGTGGGCACCCATCTGAAAACGGTGTTTTCAGAACACCTCTGCTTTATGAGGAGAACTTCTAGGGTGGTCCTAAATTCCTCACACGCGGGCATAGCTAGCCTAGTAACCAAATCAAAGAGGGACTTACAGTCGGTAATAATGATGGCCTTATTGAGTTGATTACAGCAAGTTTCGGGGCTTTGCCACTGGAACCCATCTATGTGCACTACACCCCAAAGGAACCGCATCCAGCCTAACATGTCCACGGCCTTGGACATCGCGTAGGCTTCTGCTGACAACGTTGACCGAACAACCCGAGGAATTTTCTTGGAGCTCCAGGTTAAGGGAGACAGGGGAGCTTCTTTATTGGCCAGCAGACGGTCATCCGTTGCACAGATTAAAGCTCCCTGATGGGAAGACAGACACTTGGACGATGCAAACGAGGCGTCTCCAAAGGACACGAAGGTCAAGCGGTCCACTTCGATGGGTAAGTATGTTATGCCTACATTGCCAAACTCTTGAGCCTCCCGAAGAACCTTATTGGCGAGGAGAAGAGTAGCCACCGTAGCCCTTGTTATCGCCCCCTGAACCTCTCCTAGCTTAGCAGCAAGGTCCGGTCGAGAATGCGTGACTGCGTACTGGAGGCTGCCTATGAGTCCCCTCAACTTGCTTCGTTCAGCCTCGGTCACAACAGACTCAGGAGTCTGTCTGCGGGGACGGCCTACATCGATGGATGGAATGTTGCGAACATATGAATCCTGACAGGCTCGGATTGAAAAGTTGGACAGCTGTTCAAGATGTATTCCTGTGAAGGTGAACCGATCATGTTTGCGACTCCCGAAAGGAAGAGTTTTCTCTAGCTCCTCGATTTTCTTTTGAAAAACCTGATCCCCACCACAGACTCCATCATCTACATGCATACCGAGAATGCCGTGCAAAAGCCCTTGAGAGTACAGCATAAACACATAGGGCTCCAAAGGATGCTTAGTGAACCCGAGCTTAAGCAGCTGTTTACTAAGTTCCTTATAGAACAGAAGCGGTGCGTCTACACGACCGTAGGCGTTCCCTAGTAATTGGCAAACCTCGCTGTCTTTCAAGTTTAATGCACGGCGGAATTCAGGCGGTGGGTCCATTGCCAAAGGATTACTCTCATCAGCTTTTCCCCTCAAGAAAGCGGTCTTAATGTCAAATGATCCCAGTCTAAACTTTTTAGATGCAATGGTCTGCAACACCAGAGCCCTGCCTTCACGTGAAAGCGTAGGTGCATCCCGTAAAACTTCAACAAGTTTGGGGTCCTGGAATCCTAAGACAACTAATCTTGCTTTAGCGCGGGGCTGGCTCTCCCCTTCCTCTGGGGCTTTCCACGTGAGAATCCACCGGCTCTTTAGCACCTGCTCGGGGTTCAGTTTTCTACGAAGGATTGGAGCAATGGCGGAGGTTTGTATCCAGCAGGAAATTTCCTTTTGCTTTGCAGCATCAAAAAGAGCAATCTCGGCCTTGGTCAAATTCTTGATGCTTACCTCTGCACGGGAACGTTTACCAGCAGCTGCCAAAGTGACAAGTTGTTCCGGGGCGCTCTCAATCAACCACTTTTTAATGTCTTTAGACTTTACCGGGACTTCAAGACAAAATGCTTGGTGGGCATCAGGACACAGGGGCTCTGAGACAAAAGGTAAACCATCTTCGGCTAAAGGTGGACCCACAAAATCCTCGGACGTTTCAACATGAGTGAATGTGATCAGCTCATCCCCCTTCTCATCATGGAGGCCGGTTTCATGGCAGGCTAGATACACTTGCTCGCTGATTAAACCTTCATCGGAGTCAGGTATTGGAACATCCTGTGGCGGAACCTCGTTTCCTACAGGGGATGCATACATTTCGCCGGTAACGTCGGCAGGTGCCGAAGGGGCTGCGGTGTCCACGGGGGACTCGCGCTCAACTTCAGCGACCTCCTGACTTACTTGCGGGGTAAGTTCTTGTTCGGGCTGCCCGAGTTCTTCGGAAGGTCCTTGAGGCGCAGGATGATTAGGGGAAGGCGCTGAAACCGTAGGGACCAGTACTGTGGTATCACCTATGGGGCCAGTCGGGGCGGACACTGAAGTGGGAGTGCTGGAGTCCGAAGCACCGGTCACATCTATAAAAGAACTGGCACCTCCAACATTTTTCCAGGAGGACTCTCCCAAGGAAGAATCCGTGAGGTGTTGCCACTCACGCAGGGAAGCTGGCCTCAAGTTCTCGGGGGCAGCTCGAATGATGTTGGTGCCGTGCGCTAACCAAACTATGCTTGACCCTTCACGACAGACTACTTTAGCTGGCCCATGCCAGCGACCTGCTGCCAAGCGATTTGGCGAGCTTTTCTTAACCCAGTACAGCACCCACATCCCGGCTTCAAAAGGGCCACGAACAGGATTGCTCCGACGCAAAGTCGCCTGTCTGATAGCTTGGGAATTGTCTGCTTCAAGAAAGGCTCGGCGAGCCTTGCATCGGATATCAAGCTTCTGGCGAAAGGCCTCCGACTCTAAGTCGGCACCTTCAGCAAGGGCATGGGCAGTCAGATCCTCATCGGACAAAATACTTCCCGGAAGCCGCAATGATTTACCGAACACAATCTGCTCAGGGGCAAATCCGGAATGGCGGACCAAGGAGTTCTTTGCTAATATGGCTTGCTGCAAGACCTGATCAAAGGTGACATCATTGATGATGGGAGATTCAAGATCTATTCGGGAAAGCATATCCTTGAGGATATCTCCATGCCGTTCAAGGCGACCGCGCTGCCAAGCGGCGGTTGTCACATATGTCTTGGTATTCAAACCCTGAAAATAGCCCAGGACCTGATCGGATCTAAACTCCCCTGCGGGATCTAGATACACTTGTTTGGGAGGACCTGCCCAGCTAACCCAGAAATCATTTAGGGCTTGAATCGCATGAGATCCTTGACGACTGTCAGCCCGTCGAGCTTGCTGAAAACAGCTGGCCTCATCCAGTGCATGCAGGACATAAGTGCGGAAACCAGAGTTACTCTTGAAGAAGAATCCATCAACCCCAATCATGTCATTAAACTCCCGGGCTTCGGGTAGTTTGCTTGGGCGCTGATGACGAGGCTCAGTTGATTCTAAACACACATCGCACTGATAGTCCAAGGCCGCATCGATCATCATCTGACTTTCTTTAGCAGCTCTCAAATGTCGAGCGAGGCTCTCCGGGGCGGGATGACCAAGATTTGCATGGATCTTTCGCAGTCGGATCTTGTCTTCATTAGACAAACTTCGATATGATGGGCCATGGAGCGGAATCGGCGGAGGTCCCCAGCCCTCCAGGCTAGGTGGGTCAGCTGATGCGGGCTGCTCTTGTGGATGTGTTTGAGCAAAGATTGTAAGCAGAGTCTTCACTGGAGCAATCCGCAGCCTCTGACGATCGTGGTGCATCGTGGTGCGATCCTCAAAACCAAGGCATTGATACTCAGACACATTGCCTGAGGACAGGCGAGAGCACATGCTGATGCGCCACGGCGCAACTGTCGCAGGTAAAGCTCCTAATGGCTGATGTAGATTCCGGCTGCCACATCCTACGAAAACCTGAAGGATTTGGTAGTCGGGGAGGGCACTGCTAATCAGAGATATCAGTTCATGTTGCGGGGGTACAAGTATCGGGGTGGCCTTTGTGTTACACTCTGTGGCAAGATCAAAAATAGGTCTCCAACGAGTCTGCGACACAGCATAAGGCTCAAGCACGGAAGGCGTTGCACTCAGCCGACGCCGCGTTGCGTCAGGCTGAACACGCTCCTGTGTGACATCTGCTGCTCGCTTCTGGGTTCTCAAACTAACAACCGGACTAGGGGTCCCTACAGAAGTCTTAAACCTTTTGCGGGTGAGGACAGCAGGGGCTTGGGATGCTCGGACCTGGTCCAGATTGGCTTGCAGCAGATGTCGAGCACAGTGCTCGGCGAAACCCTGGCAGTACGATCCGGCATACTGAGACACCGATCTGCCTTGCAGTTCTCTGAGTTTTCCGGCAATCGGCTGATGACTCTCATGGCCGGGACAAACCTTATCCACTAAAGCACGAACTAAGCTCTGTGAGTTACTTAGTAACTGCGTGGCTTTACGGATTGGACGACGACTTATCGGAGTTCTCAGGCCGAAGGCACACATATCAATGGTAACTTTGTAGGTTTCCTTGACCACTACAGCTAACTCAGGTTCCCCAAGCATGTTGGCCGTTGCTGGTTGCTCCATATGAAACCCTCTACCCAACTTCTGTTGCCATTGAAATACCTTAGCAAACAGTTGAAGTTGAGTCTGATCATGCTGGCGACCCTTTTTTTGGCTGTTGTTGATACTGCGGGTTCCGTGCAGCATTCAAACGAGTCCACGCACTCCACCATCGACAATCTGGCGAAATCCAGATATGTTTGGGCTGAGTCTTTTGGATCATGTCCCACAAGGCACGTTGACCATTGGAAGTTCTCAAATCACCGTCCTTCTCCGTGAACCGACAAGCTTTACCCCCTATCTGTTGAACTACCTCAGTCAGCCGACTATCGCTATACCCGGTGATTTCTAAAACATCCAACTGCTCTACCAAAGGTTGTTGGTATGTCAACATCGAATCTTGAAACACATCCCAGGAGGCGGACTGCGCTTTGCAAAAGGCTTGTGTGCAGGCTTCAGCAGCCTTCTGTGCAGCGCAGGAAAGCGACGTGCTCTCCTTGAGCTGACCAACGGATTGGAGCTGCTGACGGAGGGGAGACTCCACAGGCACCAGGTCAGGCCGATGGGTGTTATCCAACACGGGCAACTCCGAGCAAAGGGAGGTCTCAGAAAGCTCCTCGGGTCTTTCTAAGGAAAAACCCAACGTCTTAAGTTCACGAACACTAAGTGGCTCAAGTTTATGTACTGCCTGAAGTGCAAAGGCAACCATCAAGGTGCGATTGCCTGACCAGGGCATCGAAGCATGCCACATGTGAGGATCGATGAGAAACGCCTTCTTCAGGCTTTGCAAGGAGCCTGCGGTCTCCTTTCCGTTGCACAGCAAGGAATGTCCCACCTGATTGGGACCGGGCGGCTTGGCGATCCAGACTTCTCCTCCTTTCTCGGGGTATTGTAGGGGAATCACAAGATTTGGAATTTGTCGGGCATTCCAGCTATCACGGTGAGGCTCTACAGCTACATTGCATGAGATGGCGATGGTGGTAAAGGAGTGTTCGGGCTGAGTAAGTTTGACAACTCGGGTGAGAACCTGGGTCAGCCACGGAAACTGTTGTGACACACGAGTCACTCCCACAACTCCTCCATGCGAATACATTCCGAACATCAAGTAGGCCGAAGGCTTAGCGTCTACAGCAGTCTGTTGATTGGCTATCGTTCGGGTCCTCCCGGTAAGCTGAATCTCATGCCAAGGAACCTTCCTAAGAAATTTCTTTAGCTCTACTTCATCCCCAGAATTCTTCAGAAGTTGCTTAGCCTCGGCTTCAATCCACATCAAGTTGGACTCAGATCGGGATACAAGTGCTTGAAGCTCCTGCTTACATGCTTCTACTTCGCTTAGGAGGGATTCTGTGGAGCTGGGGACGTCTGCAGGTGCTGCAACACCTGCTGAAGCATTCCTTCGAGATGCGTCATGCGATCGGAAAGAACATTCACTTGGCCCTCGACATGTAGCACCGCACTCGGAGTCGCCACCATGTCCCAGCGATCGTCCTCGGAA